TTTCTGTTACATAGAGAATTGTATTTTTGTAGCCATGGTGGTCAGAAATGTTTTGGGAACAATGCTATCCTGATGGAAACTGGATTATTCAGTCCTGTAATAAGCATTGTTTGTGAGTTCATTCTGGTGAGCAATTATTGTTTGGTTTCACCCACATAATTTCCATGAGCACATCTGATGCCTTGGATGAAACAAACCACATTCTCCAATGGGAATGCAGAAAGCTCATGAAGTTTGATTATTTGCAGAGGAACATCTATGGTGGCAGCTGTGGGAATATGTTTTGTGGAGATGTGACAGATGGTAGATGCAGAAATGGCCCTCTTGGTCTAATTCAACAAAATAAAAACAGCCTAAAAATTATATTAAAAAAAATCATGTCTACAAAACCAGAACCAGATATACTTACAGTCAACACATTTATTTTGGTTTATCTTTTTTTTTCCCATAAATATGAAGACTCCTACATTAGGTATCTCCTCAGACCTATTATTGAATATTGTTCATCAGATAGCTCTTTGTGTAGAGCTGCACATGTGTTTGCCTCAATACTGTAGACAACTTATTGGCCTGATTATCTCAGTCCCTAATGTTCTTCTTTATTATTAAATTCCAAAGATTAAAAAAAAAAGACACTGACATTTTTCTTTGAAAATCAGCTGTTCTATTTAGTGGTTCCATCTACCTCAGAGAGCCATCCAACCCTTCTTTCAACCCGATGAGAGTGAATGAGACCCACCTGCATTAACCACAAGAAACTACTTAGGTTTACATAAAGCTCTACCAGTTGAGCTCAAGGTGATTCAGGAGAACAGTGTGTATTCTCTGCCTGCACTATACAGCCAATGACTTTGCTGCAGCCAGAAATAGCAATCATTAAGAACTATACTAGAAGCGTAATGAAACCCAAGCCACAGGCAGTTGAAAGACTGCCTCAACTTTCTCCCACAGGTAAGAGACAACGACTGTTTCATAAACTCATTGGACTTTTTTAGCTTATAAAAAAGTACTAAAGAAAATATGGAAAAGGACTTTTAATTTTGACTTGGTACTAACTAAAGAATGATTATAGTAACTACATAGTATTGTCAAAAACTCTTTCTTTCTGAACTTTCTAATGTCAGTAACTGGAGTGATATTTTTGTGAAATACTGAAGTTCTGCTTTGGCTGTTCAACACTAGTATTACAACTGCATCCATCCCTTATAAAGGAAGGTATTCCACAGCTTCTTCAGTCCTTTTTATCCACAACTGCAAAGCATTTTCCTCAACATCAACACAACTTCTTGCAAAAGCATTCTGCTTGAATTGGCTTTGTCTGGGGACTCGTCCTCAAGACAGCTATCAAATTCATACACTCGCTATTAATAACATGCTTTGGTATATTTTCCTAACAGTAGCCAAGCATTGAGATTATCTTAGAAAAAAGGTAAAGTTTTCAGGAATGTTAATCACAAAGACGTAGGCTGAACAGACTCTGGATTAAATGCTACCAATGAAGCTAAATCACAGATATAGTTGTCACTGTAGCCTAAAGGATCGATTACATCTTGTCTCCAAAAATTAAGATTTCTTAACGTAAAGCATCATAACATACATTCCGGGAATCTCTATGGGTAATTAACTCCAAGAAATGCCACTGCTATAACTGATCTCTCTTTAATAAATTTCTCTTATTATGAAGTATAAGTCACTTGCTCTAGTTTTATTTTCGCGAATTCAACAGCGCTTGCCATTACTCCCTTGCTGCATGCAGCCCCCACTGGAGGCGTTTTTCTCTTCCCTCAACAGTCCATTCGGTACGGTGAGGCAAGGGAGAGCACTGTGGGAAAGCAGGGCCAGGCACAGGGGCCCTTGGGAGAGACACTGACAGTGTCCCCATGCCCACAGCAAGCACCACAGGCTGTGCTGTTCCTCATGGGAGCGTATTTAGGCAGCATATCTCTTGTAATCAACACCCCACCAGCATCACATTGGGACCTGGTACTTAATATGCAATAACAAAACACCAGTCCCTAAATGACTTTGGTATGCCCAGCTAAGAGGGATGATATAAACAATATAAATGCAATCACAGCAAGACAAGAGTGTAGATGTTATCTTTATGTGTGTGTGTATGTGTTGAATCTGAAGTTAGGCAGTCATCACATGTCCAAACTACACAAAACTACAAGGTTTGACACCTCCAAAAAAGTGTCAAAACCATCAGCAGATTAGTTTCCCTGGGACTCTCAGAACAAGATGTTCTTTCTTATTCATTATTGCACATAATACTACAACAGACTTGTAAAAGAGTGATCGATAGAGAAACTCAGCATAGCAGACTGTTGCTATGGTAGGTTTAAGAACAACGCCCAGAAGACTTAAACTCATAGAAGGGAAGAGATCAAATTGCATTCAAAAGCAGGTCAAGCATTTCTACCTTCTCCTTACACGAATACAACTGTTTATGCATCTCTGAGACTCAGGGATTTTATAGATGGACTGTACTCCCACCTTTTATTTTGAGGTTTGTTTGGGATTTTTCTGTCCTGTTGCTAGTCAAATTTGACTGAAGACATATAATTGTATTTACAAGGTTTTATACTTTTCCAAATTTCACAGAAAATATTAGAAACAATCATCTTTTTGATTGTGGCTATTCCTTCTCAAATAAACTTTTCTGCACATCTGGGATGTACTGGAAAAAACCATCCTAATGCTAGATGGACTTCTCTTTGGATATTTCTCTTGCCATTTTTGTAGCTCTTTACATTCTTTCTGAAGTTTAGACCTCAAATTTAGGGACTGTTTTTCAGTAATACACCGTTTAGTAACATCTGCAGCAGTAGCACCACTTTCCTACAGAAACTCAATGATCCCCTGCTTGCACATCTTAAAATTGTCACCCCTATTAATCACTGCCTTGTAAAATGACTTTGCATGCAATTGCTTTCACAGTATGTTTGTCGCCCACAAATATTTGTAATTCAGTGCTTTCTAGGAACAAACTTTCATCACATCAGTCTGACCAACCCGTTGAACTCATGGATGTAAAATTCTAAAATAAAACTACTGCAACTGGCTTTTGGAGGCTATGGGGGTTGGGGATGGAAGAGGTGTTTGTATAGAGTTTGTTTTTGGCGAAGGAGGCATAAGAAAAGGAAAAGCCCAAATAGTTGTTTTCTTCAACAGAAGCTGATCCATCTCATTTAAAATAATGCAGAATGTGTCAGCAATTGACTTACACCTTAAAAGCCTCTTATCACCAGGCTGAAGAGTTATTCTTATGACCTTCATTCCTAAGTGAACAGATTTTGTTTCTTGAAACAGTGAGAGCCAGGTAAAGAGTTCATCACGACTGAACAACTTCTTCCTCTTCCTTGGTCACACACCCTCACTAAACAGCCTCTGAGGCCTATCTGTTTGCCTGGTAGACTGGCTCAACATATTAAAACCTTGCAAAACTGTTTCTTGCTTGAGTCCACTCCCTTTTTCATCTTTTCATGTATACGGCCTACACTTAGAGTTCCTCCCCAGGGAATTTGAGAAACAGCCTCAAGCTCTCTTTAAACTGGCACCCTTATGCTGGGTGAGCACCTTTAATCTGAAGCTAGTAAAATGAAAAGACAACAAATAATATAGGGAGTGCAATAATCTCCATGGCATCATCATGTCAAACCTAATTCTGTTTTGACAGGCATGAGTGACAGCTCTGTCACTGGTGCCAAGAAGATTAAACTGAATAATGATTCATATGAGTCAAATTTTTTTACATTGTTTATAAATATCAAAGATAACAACTGCCTCTTGAATTTCCACAAGAAGTGTCTGTGCTATTTCTTATGAAATTTTAAGCTTAGTCTTTAAAGCTGGAACCATATTGTTCAATTCAAGAGACAGACAGCCAGCATGAAAAACCACTTGTTCAAACTGAGCTGATGTCTAACATAAGTCAGTCACCTGCACTCCTGATATACAGTGAAGAGAACAGGCTCATCTAAGATGCAATTTGTCTCATATGGCAGACACCTTAAAAAATTCAGATGAGTCATCTTAGAAACACTCATTTTCTTCCGCTTACTATAAAGGAAATATAGATGCCTAGGTCAGATATTGATATCTACACCAGAGATGAATACTATCTTCACTGACTTGAGTGGAGTCTGGACTAGAACTTAACAAAGAGAATATCATGAGGTCAAGGGATTTAGGCACTTAAATTGAAAAACAGGAATCTGAAATTTATAGTCCAAAATTCTGAAATTCAGAAACTGCTGCATACTGAAGTAAAAGAAAAAAATATGATAAGGAAAAAAATCCTGCTGAAAATTTACTTTTCAGAAGACTTTAGAAGTGCTCTGAGTAATCAGAGTATAGAGAATAATGAATAGGAGGGAGTTTAAGGCAAGCTAGTACCACTGAAGCTGAACTTCAGAGACAGATCACCTACTTAAGATTACAGCACACAGCATGTTCCAGTGGCTTTCTGATATTTCATCTATCTTACTGTATGAACTGCTTCCAGCAGCAGATCTATCCTTCTAAAACTCCCACTTCTGTCTCTACTTGTCTTTCACTTACCTCCCCATTTGATGCATACAAAACTCTCAAGAGTATTTCAGGAGACAAAAGTCACCTGAGCAACTGACTGGCATACTGTTTGTATGGATTTTATTATCAAAATACAGCATTCTTGTGCATTAGTGCATATCTGATCATATTTGTCTCAGATCCACTTGCATATGGCAATCTTTCCTGCTAGTATCCTGAAAAAAGATAATGTTCTACTTTGTTGAGACAGTGAAATGCATTATTACTGCAAAATCTTACGTATGCTTTTAAGAACAATGCAACTGCATTAAAAAATATGAATAGAACTATAGATATTAATTGATATCCATTACCAGCATGCTCTCTCCCTGGAATAAAGGGAATTTCCTTTCATACCCTAAATATGCTATGATATTTATTTATTTATCAGTACTTTTTACCCTAGACTACAGGAAAGGGCAAAAAAGAGGTAATTATCATAGAATCATAGAATATGCTGAGTTAGAAGGGACCCATCAGCATCCTTGAGACCAACTCTTGGCCCTGTGCAGGACGCCCCAAGAATTAGACCATATGTCTGAGAGCATTGTCCAAATGCTTCTTGAACTTGGGCTTGGTGTTATGACCACTTCCTTGGGGACACTGTTCAAGTGCCCAGCCACCCTCTGGTGAAATATCTTTTCCTGATATCTAACCTAAACCTCTCCTGACTCAGCTTCATGTCATTTCCTTGAGTTCTGTCACTAGTCACGAGTGAAGAGATCAGTGCTTGCCCCTCCCCTTCCCCTTATGAGGATGCTGAAGACCACAATGAGGTCTCCCATCAGTCTCCTCTTCTCCAGGCTGAACAGACCAAATGATCTCAGCCACCCCACAAATGGCCTCCCCTCCAGACCCTTCACCATCCTTGTGACCCATCTCTGGATGCTCTCTAATAGCTTAATATGTTTTTTATATTAGGGTGTCCAAAACTGCACACAATATTCAAGGTGAGGTCACCCCAGTGCAGAGCAGAGCGGGACAATCCCCTCCCTCAACCGTCTGGTGATGCTTTCCCTGATGCCCCCCAGGACACTGTTGGCCCTCCTGGCTGTCAGGGTACTGCTGACTCATATTCAACTTGCCAACAACCAGGACCCTCAGGTCCCTTTCTGTGGCACTGCTTTCCAGTGTCTCATTCCACAGTCTGTGTGTAGATCCAGGGTTACCCCATCCGAGGTGCAAATCTGGCACTTTCCCTTGTTGAACTTCATACAGTTGGTGATTGCTCACCTCTCTGATTTGTTGAGATCTCTCTGCAGGGTCTTTCTGCCCTCAAGGGAGTCAACAGTTCCTCACAATTTAGTGTCATCAGCAAACTTAGTATTCCTTCGAGCCCTGCACCCATGTCTTTAATGAAAATGTTGAAGAGAACTGGGCCTAAGACAGAGGAGCCCTGCAGAACCCCGCTAGTGACCTGACTTCAACCTGATGTTTCCCAGTCATGGCTGCCTATCAAAGGAGATATAACCTCTGCTTATATATAGTTTTCTTGTTGAGGGGAAGTAAAGAGGGTCTTTTCAACACTTATAACCTCTCCGTCTTCATCCTGGACTCTAATAACATTCACTGAACTTTACTGCTTGACCTTAGACTGCTGAAACCAATATAATTGATCACTACTGTATTATCTGCTCCCACCTGTATCTAAAACATGTTACACTACTATTTTTTTCATGGAAAGTGTGATACAAGTCCTACACAAACTCCTGTATACTTGTAGGTGTTGATATCCACAGTGAGTAAATTCCATGAAGGAAGATTTTCAGCGTCCTATTCCCTAGAAAATATGTTAAACTGTTTCAGTTTTCAAAGTGCATTAGTAATGGTCCTGTAGATTTTATCATAGCCTCTGTCCCTCAACAGGTTTCAGTGTATACATTGTTTCTAACTTCAAAGGCTACATTTAGATATAATTAGCTATTTCCCCAAGGACTGACATTATGTTTCCCTAAGAGAGTTTAAAAAAACAAACATAGAACTAGGGTTTTTCATTGCACTCATTTCTATTGGATTTTCAGATAGGTTCCCCTGCTATAATCTGCACCCACAGAAACTGGAACAGTCAACTGCAAATTTAGGTTTAATTGAAAAAACCGACAGTACAAGAAATTCAAAGTCTCTTCTGGCTTCTGATGGTATACAGGAGAATTGATGACTGCATTTCAGTTAAGCTCCCTCAGCTTCTTCACTGAAATTTTCCTAGGCAGATACCAAGGATGAGCTAAGAGCAGCAGTATTTAATCATAAAATGAAACATATAAAGTAAATATTTGTATAATACTTCTGTTCAAACTAATCTTATAACAAAATTTAATATATTTATATCACTTTCTCCCTAAAAAGTATCATTAGAACACAGAAATTATCTTTTATATTCTAACTAGCACACAATTTATGCCAAAATTCAGTTCTCAAATTGGTCTCTGCCATTTTAAAAACTGTAGATTTTAAAGTGCTAAACCATTTTATTTCTGTTACAAATTCTCAGACATGCCTGAGAAATGGGTGAATAAGTATGGGGGGGTGTTTCTGAATGTTAGAGATATGATTAATTGAACAAATGGTACCAATTATGTTATATCTATCTTTGATCTAACCTAACATGCATGAGACTTGTATACAGCAAAATCCCAAATACCTGTATCAGCCAAGAGAATTTGGATATATCTGAAGAATGAGGTTTTCCTTTTTGTAGGCAAAATGAATGTGCTTGTTTAGGCTATAAAGGTGAGAAAGAATGGAAAGATGAAACAGGGTATACATTCCCAGTGCCTGAGAAAAGAAAGCTCGGCGTTGCACTGTGCTGCATATTCTGGCAAAGAATTTTGCTTGATAGAAATAGGAATGCATTTGATGTGTTGGAGGAATACGTGAGTTTGTTCAATTCATGTTTCTCTAAATCTTTTCCACAGTTAGTTGATATTGAAATAGCTTCACAAGATATTCCAAAATTCAAACATTCTTAGTATATTATCATAATTATAAGATTAAAACCTCAGTGTGCTATGTACAGCTATTTAGTCAAGATACTAAGATCTCTGGATAATATGCTGTTTGGATAACAGAAAAGAATATGAGAAAACTGAGATTAAAGCCTACATTAATTCTAGGAAATAGTGAGAAGAACTAAAATGTATCAACGGTGTCTGAGATAATACAGCAAAAACAATCCTGAACAAGATATTTCTGCATAGTCCCTAGTCACAGTGCCTCAGTCATATTGTATTTTTTTAAAAATATCCCAAAAAAAAGTAACCCAGAGAAACTAAAGACAATTTAGGAAATGCTCCAAGCTGAGAACAGTTAGACACTAGGAGAGTGCACAGGGAAAGCACCACATGTGCTTACCCCACTCTTCTTCCTGGTGCAGAGGGAAAAATGAGCTAGACCAACCTAATTCTGAAGTTCAAAATAACAAAACAAAACCATTTAGGTTACTGGCATTGGAAGTGATCTGTTGGTTTCCCTGCAGCCAGTGTGAGTCATGTAGGTTGGCTGTTAAAGACACCCCCAGAGCTTTTCCAGAAAACAAAATGGTGATCCTGCAAGCTGTTGAACTTGCAAATGGGAACACTTGTGTGCTGATCTCTACCTGTGAAGTACACTAGTAAAGCTCATTGTGTAAGGAAAGTCATAAATATCCTTTTAAATTTACAGCATGTGGCAAAAGATGATACTCTTGAAATGAAACCGATCAAATAAATATTGTCCTCTGCTTCAGCGCTAAGTGCTTATGAATTGCCTGGTGTGTAAGCACACTTACAACAGATCTGCCACTATGCTGCCTCTAACTACAAAGAGCCAAGAGCACAACGAGGGCAATGAAAAAGGGCTGCCCACCACACAAAGTGGCCTTAATCCTTCCCAAGTGTGCAGATCACATCCTCCTGCTTGCTGCCAGCATTGCCACTGCCCCCTGCTCAGAAGATGGCAGGCACCCTGAGGGTCTGTAATGAGCAAAGGTATATAGGGGTAAGCTACCCTTTACAGCAAGGTCTTTGGGAACTCAAGGATTGTCAGGAACACATATAGACATTGATGTCATGCCCTACAGCTAGGAAAACAATTTAATACAATGTAAGTAGTAGGCCACCGCACAGTAGCCAACATATTCATTCCATCAAAAACAAATTAGAGTTTTTATATTTGAGTAGCATAAATGAACTGATGCATGCAAAGAAACTCAAGTTAAATTAGAGGGAAATAATGCATTGCTGAAAACAAAATTTATTTCTCTAACTTCTAGTAAAATCTGAACTGTGTGCTCTACAATGAAAGGAATTTTATTTACCCTCTAACATTTTCAAAATCAGGACACTTTCTTAAATGACGAAATTTAAAGTAAAATATTGCAGCATCAGTGGAATAATAAATACACATTTACAAGTAAAAATATGTTTGAATTAAAAACAATATACCTGACTACAAATAATTAAGGGTACTGCTGAAGATACCATGATAAAATATATCCAGGCATATTTAAATAATTCATTTCAATACCTTGCATGAGATGAAACATTTATTTTCTTATTGCTATAAAATGATCAAAGGTATCTCAAATATAACTATTTAGGGATTTATTACTTTTCTTTACATACCTCCATCCCCTATAGAAACAAAACAGAACAATTTTTCTCTCAAAAATTAAGGTCTACCTTCTACTGCCTAGTTAGGAGTTTTTGAGATTTTTTTCCCATAAGTCGAGTGCAACTGTGCATATATGCTTAATTTATTAGTACATTTAACCTAATTTTATATGCAGCCATTTGAAAATAAATCACAGTATGTTTGAAGTCTGCTACAAAGTTTGATGCAGTTTGAGATGCAGCATATATTTTATACATAAACAGCTTTGACCTATGCACTCTAAGAGCAAAAGCAGCTATAAGAGCATGTGACTTCTAATAGAAGTTTTTTCAAAGGAGTATTTTTGCCCCTTTCAAAATGTTCTTACCTCTTCTTTTGTCTTTTTTGATATGACTCTTAGCCAGTCTCCAATCATGCTGAGGACAGCTGCAAAGTAAGCAAGTCCAACAAGGATCCAGAACCACACCACTGGCTTATAAAAATCTAGATATTCAATATCTGATCCCCCTGAAAAACAACACAGTTAAAATTAAATCAAACATAATAGTTATAGGTGCAAAGATGGTTTAAAATTAATTTTCCTAGAAAGGTTGCATTTCTTAAAACTTCTGTTTTCTTACCCAGGCAAAAATTCCTAGCAAAATGTTTTGTTGCATTTGAATAACTATAATAAAAATTCATCTTGAAAGTAGAATTTGAAGTATGCAAATTTTAGACAATGATTGCTAATCATTCATAATATTCATAATATTAATAAATAAACTCAAATTGATTCCATTTCTGATATAAACCCTTAAGGTAGAGATCATTGAGGACAGCTTGAGAGAAAGGACTTCCCACCTGCTCCAAATAACCATGCTGTAACAGATTTTAAGTATTACTCTGGCTGTAATGTGTTCATACCCTGAGAAAGCTGTTTTGCAAGGACTTTAAAACATCTCGAACTTTTAGCCTGAGTAAAGAAAGACTAACAC